CCCCCAAAACAACCGTCGGCCTTTGTCCCCCACAACCACCATCAGTTTTTGTCCCCAACCTACTTTGTCCCTCTGCAGCTAAAGGTTAAATTTATGACTAAAAAGAAGCAGTAAATGGTTAGAAACTGGAACCTAAAGCTTTTTCATGCCTCTTTATCACAACGAAACCTGGTAGCAGATCAACACATTCGTCCCCTTTACTCTGATACCTTAAAAACGAAACTTGAGTATCTTTACCGTTTAGAATGATAATAACAGGTAACAACCTGTATAGTGACACACTTTGACCAAAACATTTTCTCAGGCTAGGGATGGGGGGGGCAAGTTTAGCTGCTGCTCGCTAGAACATTTAGTTCTGGATTTCTACTGGTCAAACATTTTTAGTTTCCTTTCACTGGTTTCCCAAACTTAGAGTCTCTTCAGGACATAAATCATCAGACTGAAGCTTGTAGTTCTGATAAAGACTCGGGACACGTTAAAGACACGCAGGGGTTACCGTGGAACAACATGCGCTCGTTGTGATGGTTGTGGTTCTCGTCTGCGATCTCCTTCTGCCGGTGGGTGTAACGTTCCCGCAGCTTCTTATTCACCACCTTCTGGATCTGAGGAGGACAGTGGCGCTTTAGTCGAGAGGTTGGTTCACACACAGACCTGCTTAGTTACACCAGTCCAGGTACCTTGATTATGTTGTATCTGCTGAAGACCCCCCCAGCGTTGCCGCCGTCTCTGTGCTCCCTGATGGTGCTCTGCATCTGAGAGACAGACAGGATTTCATCATTAGCAAATAGCAGCAGCTTTTAGCACCATTTCTAGCATGTTTACAACAAATACCTCTTCCTCTACAGACTGGTACTCCTTGTCATCAGGAGCTAGGTCTATCAGGATGGTGCCCTGGTTGGCGCAGTGGAATGTCAGGTAGGGGTTGGCGCCTGGAGAAAGAACAACTGATGAGCTTTCTACTAAAGCGTCGGCGGCAGGAGGTTCAGGAAACCTCACCTTGTTGTCCCCCCAGAAGCCTCTCTACACCTTTGATAAGTTTGTGTCGATGGCCGTAAGCATTAATGCCGATCTCCTTCAGCTCCTCGTGGCCCATGTCGGCCAACACGTCCAGTGTGATCTGGAAAGGATAAACGGCGCTGAAGTGAGCAGGAAGTTAAGAGGGAGCGTTTCCGCTTTCAACAAGCTGCTACCAACCTGCTCCCTCTCGAAGATGTCCCTCAGGTGCTCCAAGCCGAGGCTCTTCAGGAACTGGCTTATGTTCATGTCCAACATGGCCACTACGGCAAAAAGAAGCAAAAAACACAAACCCATAAGGAAATGACCTTAGACTGGACGTTCAAACATGTATTCCTGCTGGGATGTGAGATTCGGATTCATCTTTCCATGGGAGTATCCGTGTTTACTCTGTGTTCTCCTAAAGACTTTTCCCGGTTTTCTTTGTTATATTTTCTTCAAAATTCAGCTGCAAAGAATTCGACTCCGATGTGTTGAGCTTTTGGTGAACTCAGGCTAAAGCAA